TCGTTAATTCCTTTATTTACCTGGAAATGCCAATAGTACTTACTATATCGCATTTATAAGTAAAAAACAATGAAAATAGAAAAGTGAACAACACTCGTATACAGATAATGCTCGCCCTATGCTTATGGTTGTCTATAGTGTTAAGAAAATGATATATTTATCCAAACAAATTATTTAGAAGTTCCGTATCTTATCATTTCACTTCACAAGCTCGCCTTTTGGAGTTGAAGCCAACTTGCCGTATTTCCACTCACGATAGGCCCTAAAAGTTTGAAGCCATAGATAACTAATTACGAGACTCTTAAACATAATTTTTTTTAAGGATCATAATAATACTTGAATATTTAAATAACACAACTATTTATACTTAAATGAAAACTTTGCACAAAATATAAAACATTTCTCACAACTCGTGAGATTTGACTTATTATATTATTTAGCCTTTTTTACATTTTGACATAAAAATTAGTGATCGAACTATTCAAATCAATTTTTTTCTATAAAAATCATATCTAACCCATTGAGACCTTAAGTTTTCGTGTGTGTGTGTGTGTGAACTATATACCTCTAATTTTCTTAAATAATTAAAAACTCAAGCTACTAGAAAGAGTCCTAACTTCTAACGTTATGAAAAATTAAGTAAATTAATATATTATATTCTAATTAGTCAAACTTTTAGATATTAGTGAGCATGTCATCAAAGACAGAACTTCTATGTGCACACACTTGGGAAAAAACACTTGTAAATGTATCAAGTCTATACTAGAAAAAAAAATGATATAATTCTTGGTTAAGGGTGTTTCATTTAAATTAAATAACATTATCTAGGAACTTAACTTTTTAGACAAATTTATCCATGTATCACGTACGAACCAATGCCGCTTCATGCATAATATATAAAATAACGGCTTTGATCTAATGTCCATGGTGGGCATCCATTATAATGTCCACCATGGATGTGACAATATTTGGTATTGTGATGAGTTTGTTTCACTCATGAATTTTGCACAATTTTAACTTGATTATTTGCTAGATCTTATGAGTATAAAATGCTTTTGATGTGTTTGTTAATGTTGTTTTGAAGATTAGGAAAGGCGATGCAAAAAGAGGAACTAAAGCAGATGAAGAGACTAAAAATAAGGAAATTAGACCAGAAAGACAGTGCCTGTAGCGCCTAGGTGTTACGAAACTTTAAAAAAAACTGAAATTTGAACCTGAGAGGCAGTGCTGCAACCATAGTGCCCAGGCACTACCATTAGTGCCTAAGCGCTACGTTTAAATTAACGCGACACTTAGGCACTAGATCCTAGCGCTTAGGCACTGCGTCAGGGTCGTTTAGGATGCGTTTTTGGGTTGTTTTAAAATTTATGAAACCCTACTTTCTATACAAAACGGAGGGAGTACCTATAAATACATATTTCTCATACTTTTGAAGGGTTCTTCACGCATTGAGAGGCAAGATAATAAAAAGGGAGATTCAGAAGAGAAATTCAAGGATAATAACACAAAGCAATTGAATATTTGAAGCATTGATTGGAAGGGGAAGGAGATCTTAGTACAAGAATTCTACTTTTTCTTCTACATCTTTATTACAAATCTGGTGATGTATTATAAGACAATTGATTTTTTTTCTTCTTACACTATGAATAGTTAAATTTATTGTTAGGACGAACAATGTAACCAATTGGGATCCTTTATATTCTCTTATCAAGATTCTTAGTTTTTAATTTTTTCATGTGTTGATTTTGCTATGAATTGAATGCATTAAATTATTTGATCAATAATTTGATGATTTGTGTGATTCCTTTACGAATAGATATATGAGTTTAGGATTTAGACCATGTAGTAAAATTTAGTACATTGGTATAACGAGTAGAGATATCTATACCATTTATTGCGGTCATAATTGAATTTCTATGACAAAAAACTCGTCTAACTAAATTGAATTTGCATAGAGACATGAAATTTAATTAGTTGAATAGGCTCAATGAGAATTCGAGAAGGGTAAATTAAATATAATAGGAGAATTTGACCGAACACTACATTATAATTGAGTCTTAATTTGAGATGTAAAAGTGATCAATAGATGAAGTTATTCTGCCATAACATCTATTCATTATTTGATTTTCCAATCAATCGTGTGAGCATCTATTTATTTTCTAGAATTTAGATTAAAACTCAAATCCTACAACTTTTAATTTGTTGTAGTCAAATAGTAGTTAAAGAAAAATTGAATTAAGTGTTAGAAAATAGTCCTTGTAGAATCGACAATTTGGACTCTTAGGTCCACTATTACTTGTTACGGGTCGTACACGTACAAAATTAAAATTTTACGACATATTGCCGCGTCCACATCGGACATTATAGCTTATGCTTACAATGGACATTATATTATTTCTTTTTTAAATACACTGTGAATCTATTTGTATTTTATTATAAAAGGACACCATGGCCGAAAAATGAATGGTTAGTTTTCGAATTCTAAATCATATCCAAACTTTTCTTATGTACAAATTTGATCACTCTTCTTTCCATTTGATATTTTAGTGTAACTGCTCAAAGTCGAGATGCAGGGCTGCTCTGTGTAATTAATTTAAAATTTATATAACTCACTAAAAATAGCTATAAACTTTGAATCTTCATGAATGCACACAGCACTCTCCATGCTTTTGTTTCCTTCTTCATTTCAGATTTCATTAATTTTTAACCTGAATTCTGATTAATTCAATCGGCCACAAATGGTTGTGAAAGAGCAATTCAAAAGGCGTCAGAGATTCTTTCTCTTTTTCAACATTACTTTTTCCAAAAAAAGAAAGCTGTTTTTTTTACATTACTTTTTCCAAAAAAAGAAAGCTGTTTTTTTTTAAGGTCGCTTAAATGTTGAGGCCCTAAGTCATTACCTAGATGCTTTGGTCCAAAGTCGAGCCTGCTTCCACTCAATTTGACAAGTTGGCGAGTGACTCGCATAGTCAATTTGTTGTTAAGTAAGTCGCGTGTGATCGAGTTGATGAGCAGTTCATACGTTCACCCTTATTATACTATGAACTAAGAAAACGCTCAATTTTAGTTTTCTTTATCTGCTACGTACTCGAACATCACCACTTTATATATATGCTCATAATTTAAGAATCCCATAGCTAGCTTTACTTTCCCCAAGGCCCTTGACATTACTTATCGCTCACTAATCAACGTTTAAAGGTGACTCAAAATTTATTTACAATACAAAAAAAGAGCATAGGCTATTAGAACACCAATTTAGGTAGTTTTGAGTGATATTAAATAATAGACATAATTAATTGAGTTTCACATTCTTCCATTTAATTGAGCATTTCACTTAATGAGTTAATGTCACTAAACACACGGGTGCCAGAAGCATTATTCTATGGGAAAATACATTGATAATCATAAATAACTTTAGTTATAACAAATTCTACAAGAAAAAAATATATTAAAATATACAGATTGTATATTGTTAGTGTTTATTTGAAAGTGTAAGTTACAATTCAAACAATTGGTCCCACAAATGTGTAAATAAAAAGTGGATAACAGCTGTAAGTCTAACAAATTTATTAGTAGAGATGCCTTATCAATTAGGTGGATGTGGGGTCCAAGTCAATGCATTCAAGCGTGTTACAACGATACCAAACAATAAATCAATGGACTCATTGCCACATAACTGATAAGGAAAAAGATACATGTACCGAAGGGGGTTGCTGAATCGTGTCCCCCCCCCTCAAAAAACACTCGGGCCCCTCGTGTATTTGAAAAATTCAAGCCGTGGGTCCCACCCCCTATTTTGTGTATAGTAGGTAAAATTTTTAGGTACATACAACATGGTTCAACTGATAATGCATCTTTACAAATAATAGATAATATTATTCTTGGGATAATATTCACACAATAATTTTTAATAATTGCACCACATTTTATTTACATGAAAGGTTTTTAATATATGCTCACTTTTTCTTTTATGTCCTCGACTTTTTTCTCATCACATTGTTATTTCTAACCTTCAATTAATTAACATATTTTATTTTTAATCACGATTTTTATCCAAATATTCTGCTAACGTGAATCGAAAAGAGATGCAAATATTTTGTTTAACTTTTGTATTAATTATTTATTTCGATTATTTAAAATACGAGAGATAAATATGGCTTTTTCTCCCTTACAACGAATATTACAGACGAAAATTGTCTCTACGGACAAGATGTAAAAATTAATACAAGATTGATGATAAAAATAAAAAAATAAAAGAAGAAGAAGAAGTTTAGAATATAAGTGTAAAAAGTAAGAAAATCTTAGATATATTAATTGCAATTAAAATATAGTGTAGGTAAAAAAAATTCTGGTGTGAATATTACCCTTATTGCTATAATTTACAAACTTGAAAGCAAGCATATAAACTTTAATTCCTATTGTGGAATTTGGGTACAAGCTTTTATAATTGATTTTGTTCAAGTTTATTTTTATGATTTATAATATGAATTCACATTTATTCATTCGCACGAAGTAAATTTTTATAGTCGAGTATAGAATCAATCAATCTATGTATGACTCAGTCACCAACCATACAACACATGATGTTCGATGCAATTTCACCTCGTCGTTGAATCCAGCTAAGTAAATAGTTAATGGACATTAATATTCAAAGTGTGTAGCTACTTTCAAGTTTTTAACCTGCTACCCGTCGTCAACCACGTTTTCTTGGTAACTAAGTTACAAGTATTTTTCTTTAGAATGAAATAAAAATATAATATTAGAATAATCAAACACTAAATAACAGGTCAGATTTGCATAGTGAAAACTTAAAGAATTAAACCTTATCCTATCATCCACAAAACGTTCTTATTCTATTCTTAATTTAAAACATTTATTTTTTGTCCTCATAAGGTCTTCAAAGTTAAGGGGAAACGTAAAATTTTTGTGTGTGAATTCGTACGGACACCAACTCTCAATTAAATCCAGTTAAATTCGCTTGAATTAAAAGTCCCACCCTCTCATTAACTCCATTTCTCCCTTCATAATCATTTTTGTCGTCTCCTTTCCTACCCCTTTTGGCATTTTCTCGAGTCACATTTTTTGCACACTCCCTCTGTATCTGTCACAGTTTATACTTTATATGCATTTCTGTAGTAATCGAGTTAGTGAAGGAAAGGGTAAACGAAAGAGTAAGAGATAGTTCTCTCTATTGCTTTTTTCCTTTTGTTTATGGGCTTTCTGTCTATATTGTTTTTCTTAATCAAAGATTCAGGCTTTCTGTGGTTTCTTGAAAAATTACAGCGATTTTGGTGTTCTTGAGGCAACTCTTGTGGGTTTTTAATGAATTTTGTTATTGTTGAGGTACTTTCTCTCCATTTTTCTTTTATATATGTTTTGGATTGTAGAAATTTATGTTTTTTTTTCTGCTTGATTATAGTGGGTTGTCAGAATTCATGGCAAATAGGTTATAAGAACGATTAATTTTGGTTTTTCTAACAAATGTTGTTGACTTTTGTTGTTGAAGTTTTGTTTGTGAGATATATTTTTGATTAATTGACGTCAAACTCGTGACTTTTGTTTTCAATGAGCCTGGGATGGTGGTTGTGTGTACGAGATTTTGCTCTTGATATGCCCTAATTTTTATCCTATGCTGATTTTTTATGCTGAATTTTTTGAATTTTATTCTGATGGTGATGGAGTGATGATCATGTGGTATTTCATGTTTGTGTTTATTGAATCCCGTTTGTCTGCTGGATCATGAGAAACTGTAATAATGGACATTGAATAGATCAAGATTTATTAGGGTATTCTCAAGTTGCTTTTTAAAGAGCAATAACTTACATTTGAGATAACTGATCAAATGGCTTGATCAAATTTCAAGTGGTATCGAACATGTTACGTGCTTGATAACCTGTGTCTCGTTGACCTTTAGTTTTCACGTGCTTCTTGTCGGTTATCTATAGAACATTTGTCGTTGGGATCACTGGTTTTGAGAATCTACAGTTGTAACTGTGTGATGTTGGATTTTGCCAAGTACTCCTGTGGTTATTTGTCGTTTTATGTCCCCTGAAGCATTAATGAGTTCATTTTTGCTAAAATTCTTTGACCTAATCTCGAGTTTAAATTTAGTTTTATGCTTTTAGCCATGTGGTAGGTGATTTTTTGTTTATTTAATACTATAAGAATAACTTTCATGCTTTTTAGTTCTCTTGTTTTGCAAAAAAGGTCGTGCCATGCAATAGAAGATTGCAATTGCCGAAGAAAAGTTAGATCGTCAATATTGATTGACAAACCCAATTTCGTCTGATAGGTCTTCTGAGGATTTCGTCAACAAAACCATCTGAAGAAATGGAAACTAGGATACGGGATATCTTTCCCAGATTTGGCACTTATCGTACCACCAATGACGCTTCCCTTTTCTCAAGCTCATTGCCTGTGCTTCCCCATGAGATGTGTATGCACTATGTATAATTCAAATTTAATGCATCTGATTTGCTTAGCAGGAAATACTTATTTTGTTTTTCTTTATTGAATTGGGTTGCATACAGTGAACCTACGTGAACCAGAACATGTTCGTCCGATTGAGGGCGCCTCGTCCGGCTTGAACAAACTTCATGCTGAAGTTGAGTACAATGACTTGCTTAAAGACATTGACAATTCTGCAATTGGAAGCTCGCTCCCTGACGATGAGGATGAACTCCTAGCTGGGATAATGGGCACTTTTGACCTTGGTGGATTGCCTAATCACATGGACAACTCTGATGAATATGATCTTTTTGGCAGTGGAGGAGGTTTGGAATTGGAATCCGATCCACAGGAAAACTTGGATGCGGGTTTCTCAAAAGCGAGTCCATCTGATGGTGTTGTTGGCAATGGAGTGGTTCATTATGGTCTTCTAAACGGCATGGGAACTGTTGCTGGAGAACATCCTCTTGGTGAACATCCCTCCCGAACATTATTTGTCCGTAACATCAACAGTAATGTTGAGGATTCAGAGCTTAGATCTCTCTTTGAGGTAATTCGAACTAGTCAGCCGTCGTTATACTTCCTGTTGGTTTCCCTAGTATCTTTGGTCTAGAGTGTGCTGTATTTGAACTCTCATCGAGAATTCAGCAAAGTTTCATGAGTTAAGTAGTTAAAAAATTTGTTTTAAGGATAGCATCGTTCTTAGTGAGCATTGGTTCAAAACAGACGTAACCTGGGACGATAGGAATTTTACATAAAGAAACAAGCAGTTCCTTGTGTTGTAAAGGAAGAGTGTAAATTTATTCTTCCAACCGTCAATCAGTTTTAGGAATATTTTTCCTGTTTTCTCCTTAAATTTGATGAGAGTTACTAACATACTCATTGTGCAAATTTCTGTTTTCGTTCTTGTCAGCAACATGGTGATATCAGAACTTTGTACACAGCATGTAAACATAGGGGGTTTGTGATGATATCTTATTACGATATTCGTGCTGCTCAAACTGCCATGCGAGCGTTGCAAAATAAGCCACTCAGAAGGAGAAAACTGGACATTCACTTCTCAATTCCTAAGGTTCTGAATTATCCTCTTCGAAGTTTTTTACTGTTGTTATAATTGTCATTTGCTGAGCCCCTTTCCATCTTCTTTTAGGAAAACCCATCAGACAAGGATATTAATCAAGGAACCCTTGTAGTGTTTAATTTGGATCCATCAGTTTCTATTGAAGACCTCCGCCAAATTTTTGGTGCTTATGGTGAGGTCAAAGAGGTAATTAATTTTATTTTCTTTACCATTTTTTCCCATTTTTATTTTCCAAACATTCATCTGATGATTGGTTGACATCCTGTTGTATATGGTATCAATTGTCTTAAAGCAGATAAGGGAAACACCGCACAAGAGGCATCATAAATTTATTGAGTTTTATGACGTCAGATGTGCAGAAGTTGCACTTAGATCCTTAAATAGAAGTGAAATAGCTGGGAAACGAATAAAGCTAGAGCCTAGCCGCCCCGGGGGTGCACGAAGAAGGTTCACCTGCTGATGCATTTACTGATTTGCTTCGATTGTTCGCTATTTTCTAGAATTAAAATCAAGGTGTACATGCCATGCACTTGCTGTTTGAAATACCAAATTCAAAGACTGAAATCAAGAAAGTTGAAGGGCTATGAAGGGAAAAAAACATTGATAATATCGGTGGATAGACCATTATTANTAAGGATAGCATCGTTCTTAGTGAGCATTGGTTCAAAACAGACGTAACCTGGGACGATAGGAATTTTACATAAAGAAACAAGCTGTTCCTTGTGTTGTAAAGGAAGAGTGTAAATTTATTCTTCCAACCGTCAATCAGTTTTAGGAATATTCTTCCTGTTTTCTCCTTAAATTTGATGAGAGTTACTAACATACTCATTGTGCAAATTTCTGTTTTCGTTCTTGTCAGCAACATGGTGATATCAGAACTTTGTACACAGCATGTAAACATAGGGGGTTTGTGATGATATCTTATTACGATATTCGTGCTGCTCAAACTGCCATGCGAGCGTTGCAAAATAAGCCACTCAGAAGGAGAAAACTGGACATTCACTTCTCAATTCCTAAGGTTCTGAATTATCCTCTTCGAAGTTTTTTACTGTTGTTATAATTGTCATTTGCTGAGCCCCTTTCCATCTTCTTTTAGGAAAACCCATCAGACAAGGATATTAATCAAGGAACCCTTGTAGTGTTTAATTTGGATCCATCAGTTTCTATTGAAGACCTCCGCCAAATTTTTGGTGCTTATGGTGAGGTCAAAGAGGTAATTAATTTTATTTTCTTTACCATTTTTTCCCATTTTTATTTTCCAAACATTCATCTGATGATTGGTTGACATCCTGTTGTATATGGTATCAATTGTCTTAAAGCAGATAAGGGAAACACCGCACAAGAGGCATCATAAATTTATTGAGTTTTATGACGTCAGATGTGCAGAAGTTGCACTTAGATCCTTAAATAGAAGTGAAATAGCTGGGAAACGAATAAAGCTAGAGCCTAGCCGCCCTGGGGGTGCACGAAGAAGGTTCACCTGCTGATGCATTTACTGATTTGCTTCGATTGTTCACTATTTTCTAGAATTAAAATCAAGGTGTACATGCCATGCACTTGCTGTTTGAAATACCATATTCAAAGACTGAAATCAAGAAAGTTGAAGGGCTATGAAGGGAAAAAAACATTGATAATATCGGTGGATAGACCATTATTAAAAGTGTTAAGAAACTGAAACAAACTCTATTATAAGCATTACTATGTAAATAATTTATCTTAATTGAATTCCATGTTAGGTGATGATGTTGCTTTAACTTTACAATGCAAATCGGCGATGTTTAGATGCTTAGATGAATTTATCTTAATCGAATTCCATGTTAGTTGATGATGTTACTTTAACTTGATGATGCAAATAGGCAACATTTAGATGCTTAAGCCCTGTGTGTTTACCATTATTTTAAAACTCTTTTTTTCTCACACACATTTTCAATCATATATTATCACAATAAAATATTTTGTACATAAACCCAAATTTTTTACTACTTTTTAACCACATTATTCGAAAACTCAATATTTCAAAACTCATTTTCATTGAATAATGATAGACAAACAGGGGCTAGCTAAATATCTTTTTCAATTATCAGATCAGCTTGAAAGTATTTGTTTCTTCTCTTTTTCTTCTACTTTATTGCAAATGGAAACATTCAAATTGTCGTATGTAAATTATAATATTTTCACTACCGTCCCCTTCGCTGGGCATAGTAATTAGATTTATGGTCTTCGAGATGTAACCTCTTAGAACTTGTATGCCTACTTTTCACTTAATAGAGATGTTAATGATCTATGCCTTGTACTTTTAATCTAATGTTGCAAGTGTCTTGTACCTTAGTCTGATGTTACAGCCAAATCAAGATCTCGAACAAGACGAGTCTCGAAGTTTACGCCACCAATTGGGTTCACCAATTAGGAATTCTCCCCCTGGTATGTCTTATAAAGGTTTTCATTATTAGTAGCTTAATGCTGGAGATTTTCATTTTTCAATTAGTTTTCTTACATTTTGGCAGGTGATTGGCCACCGTTTGGCAGCCCAATGGAGCATAGCTCAATGAGTCCACCAGTAGGAAAGAGTTTTCCTGGATTGGCTGCAATTTCACAACTGTCGAATTCTGTTAAGTTGGCATCCATTGGCAATGACTATTCGAGGGGTAGTCATTTGGAACATTTATTGAAAAATAGATATTCAAGCCAAAGAGGAGTATTTGAACAGTCCCATTCATTTCCTGAGCAAAAATCAGGTCTTTATTCTGGAAACATGCCCTCTTTTGTCTCTTCCAGTTCAAATAGACCACATGTTGAGACATTGTCTGGGCCACAATTTCTCTGGGGAAGTCCTAAGCTATTCCCCGACCAGTCTAACTCGTCTTCCTGGAAAGCGCAACCAGTTAGACATCCTTTTACGCTCAATGGCCACCAACGCCTTTCATACACTGATGAGCATAAATTTTTAAACTATTCATCTCAAAGCAACCACCACCATAACCATCATAATATTGGATCTGCTCCATCTGGCATTCCCTTTGAACAACAGTCTGGGTTTTACCAGGAGTCACCAGAGGCATCATTTTTGTCTCGTAAAGATTGGAATTTCATGGTAAATATGGATGCTCACGGTGCTATGAATGCTGGTTCTGTTTACGGGAACAGATTGGATACTGGTTCTTCTAGTTTTGGCATGATGTCTTCTCCTAGACTTAGTCCCATGTTCTTGGATAACGGTCATTTTCCAGGATTGACAGCCATGGACTTGGAGGGTCCAGCTGAACGTGGGAGGTCCCGCCTTGTCGTGAACAATGGGAACCAGATGGATAACAGGGAACAATTTCAGCTTGATTTGGATAAGATTAGAAAAGGTGAAGATACTCGAACAACTCTGATGATAAAAAATATCCCGAACAAGTAAGAACATTCAAATACTGGTTAACTATGAATATCAACTTCTTCTTCTTCTTCTTTTTTTTTTCCAAAAAGAATGTTAAGTACTACTTTTGCTCTTCATCTTTCTGTAGATATACTGCCAAGATGTTGCTAGCTACTATCGATGAGCATCATAAGAGTACTTATGATTTTCTCTATTTGCCCATTGATTTTAAGGTAAACTTATTGTTGTACTAAAAATCATACAATTCTTGTGATTTGCTGAGCTTGCTGAATCTGACATTTACCTTAATGCGGATGTAGAACAAATGCAATGTCGGCTATGCATTCATCAACATGTTGTCTCCATCACACATTATCTCATTTTATGAGGTTTGCCTTTTTTTTTTTTTTTTTTTTTTGGTAGTATGGTATGTCATTAAATTACCGGTCATCCTTATATATTTTTGCTACAATTGCAGGCATTTAACGGGAAGAAATGGGAGAAGTTCAACAGCGAGAAAGTTGCTTGTTTAGCTTATGCTCGGATCCAGGGAACAGCAGCCCTGGTCGCTCACTTCCAAAATTCTAGTTTGATGAATGAAGACAAGCGTTGCAGGCCCATTCTCTTTCATCCGGAGAGCTCAGAATCTGGCAATCAGGTGACTTTAACATAAACGTGAAGATGACAAATTTATGCTATATTTCACATATTCTTATTCTAAAAAATTTGTTTTGTTGTGATTTCTCTTCCTTTTAATGGAATAGGTTTATGTAATTGGATTTGATTTTCCTTTTTTCATGACAATTAGCTAAAGTAGCACATTGTAACATAAGTGTTGGCATTGCTGCAGCAGCAGCAGATGATCCAGGGACATTTTTTTTCCCGTAATTTGAACGTGCAAGCCTGTCAATCGAAGGAAATGGACCCCACAAATTCACCTGGAAGCTCAAGCAAGGGTTTCTTGGGTGCTGAGGTGGAGAAGCAATAGCAAAGGAGTCAGAAGCAGAATAGGAAAAAGAATGTGTATACAGTATAGGCCGAGACCCTTAGATAGCAGAACAGATTTTTGCACCATGGCATGGCATTTTGATTTGAAGGCAGAAAAAGGTCACCTAAAAGGATGTACTTTTGTTATCAGTTTGGATGGGAAGCATGCAGGCTAGCTATCTACAAGGTGCAATGCATTTTGTAGATTTCTGATATTTTTTCAGACTGGAAATTTTAATCTTGAATTCAGTTGGTAAGAGGAACTCGTTAAATTAGTTTTGAAGTTTGAATCTTTCTGTGTTAGCGACTGTTTACATTTGTATAGACAGAATTCTCAACATAAATGGAAAAAAATATATGTAAGTTGGGATTCTGCTTTTGCATCAATGGCATGTCAAAGGAATGGAAATGGTTTGTTTTCAGTGTAAGATCCAGGATTCCAAATATAAAGGTAATTTCCTATCGGTTTTGCTAATGGTACATCGGAGGGTACCTGATGGTGTACACCCTACTCACATGGAGAAGGGACCCACTCAATTAAAATATCATTTCTTTCACATGGGGTCCACACCCATGTGAGTGGAGTGTACATTATTCGGTATACCCCATTATGTACTACTAGATAAATTCATTTCCTATTTAGTGTATTGAAAATTGACCCAATCCGGTCATTTTGTCTGGGAAAATGGGAAACTGGTCCTGTTATAGCATAAAAATAATGTTAAATCGTCTTTTTAGTTGAACCCTTTTTGTTTTGTTTTGTGTGGGTGGGTGCGTGGGGGGCGGGGGGGTTATGAGGGAGAATTCAACTTTGAAACATATCATTCTATGTTATGAACATTAGTGACATTATAGAACTTTGATGTTGGAGAATTTGATATAATTATTATCATTACATTAATGTAAAATAGCTAATTTTGAAGTGGATGCAACTTGTACCCAATGTTTAAACTGCTGGAAATATCTCTTTAACTGATAGCGCACTTTCAGAATTTGTTTAGGAAGAAGAATATAATTCAAAGGGTTATTCCTTGTTTAACTTTCAAGTTTTCGTAAGAATTTTATCTATTCCACACTATTAACTAAGATTTCAAAAATTTGAAAAATACCCCTATTTGGGCTCCATTAATTTTTAATACATTTTCTCTTTAACCACATTCTCCAGTAAAATAATGTTTTACACTAATCCAAATTCATTTTTTTTAAACTACACATTGTTCAAAAATTCACTATTCCAAAATATATTTTTCCTCAAAAACACATTTTAATGAAACCAAAACAGGGGATCATAGATGTAGAAATCTCGCAATTAGCGCAGTAGGCGTAGCTTGGAGTGAGAGTGTAGCGGGAGTAAGGTAAGGTATGTGGCCGTGCATACACAACATCCATAACAAGTTTAACATACCTGTTTTAGAACATAAGAATCAAATGGGCAACATTTTCCATGATAGGCCATCAAAAGCAGGTATGGTCTTGCTCGATTCAGTTTACTAACCAATGAAATAATAGTAACCTTTTTCTTCATCATATATATACTTGCAAATAAACAACAAAATATACATAATCACTTGCAACTTTTGACAATTAGAATATGTACTGCATCACACCAGCAATACTAATTTATTGGCAAGGAGAAAGTAAAGATTAGCAGGATTGGCTTCAGAAGTGACCAGGAATAACTACAGAAGAGCTTCATCAAACAATACTCAGAACTATGAGATAAAACTGCATCAGCTGCTTGAATTCATGGTCGAACCCCTTTATCGTGATTTCTGTGACTTGAATTCAAGATCAATGAGGAAGTAGCATTTATTCTGATCTCTGATATAATGAACATTACCATTCATTATATTGAGAAGTGTCCGAGAAAGGTTTAAAGCAATCCCTTCTTGTGTTGTCCATTGACTTTTTGCTCCGTTCATGTCTTCAATAAGAGTATGAGGGATGCCATTTCCTGGGTGAGCCATTCTACAGAAATGGAAAAGAGAATATAGTATTAAATGCAGTAAAAAAAAAGTGATAAGAAATATTTTCAGATGGTGAATTTACACAGTAGTAAGTACAGCAAAATCTTTCACAAAATTATGATGTTTATTTTGCCAATTAAGATATTAGGACCTGGATTTATTCACACAATATTGATACTACTTAACCATTATGATATACATGCATTTATAGTAAAAGGAAATTCCGGGCAATATAGAGCCTTAAGCAAGAAGAAAGAAAACACCTAATAAGCAAAAATATTCAGGTTAACAGTACCTAAATTGTATATGAACAAACTCATTCCCGTCTTGTATCATCTCTAATCCAGGAGAGACCTTAATTTCAACCCAACCATTTGGAGAAGGCGCATAATGCACTATGCTGAGCAAGAAATCTGACAATGCCAACTGCAGCTTAATTCGATCCCCATGTAAACAGAGAGTTTTGATTTGATCAGGGATATCATGGAGAAGTTGTAAATTCTTTTCCTCTAACAAAATCATTACTTGACTAGCGATAGCATCGATAATATTTCCCAAAAAAAATTCTTCCATCTTGAGCTCAACCCTGCTGCTGGAAATGGGAGAACATTATACACTAGAAAGCCTTTTGTTTAGATAATTTACCAAGACAGAGCTCAAAGCATGAATCTATGGTACCTTGCAACAATGTAAAGGCAAGGTGGAGAAACAGGAGAGTATGACAGAATAACAGTGAATTATCAAGACCCAAAATATTGGCCTAGATGAAATAAAAGAGACCCTCAAAAATATACAGCATGTTTCACTAAGCCTAAAAAACTGAAGTTAGATAAAAAGTAACTTTCAAGTCTTAAGCATGGCCAAAATATATCCAAGCTTAAAAGTCACCATTTTTGACAAATAAGTTTCAACTATTTATAAGTTACTTTTCTTTTTTAGAAAACTTGCTTATATTAAAGTGAGTCCTTACTTTTAAGAAAAGTAAGCTTAATTTTTTGTTGGCTTAACCAAACAAGCTCATGGCGTTATCACAGAAAAAACTGAGACTCTTTGAATTAGGGGCTCCATGATGTTGATAAAAGTTAGTTGGTCCCATGAAATGTGCGGGGAAAAAGTAAATGAAAGTTGTGGGTTTAATGAAATGTGTGGTTAAAAATGAAGTAGACTATCTTTTTAAATGAAATGTGTGGTTAAAAATGAAGTAGACTATCTTTTTAAACTTAATCATCTTAATCACATCCTGACGTTACAAATATGGCTATCAGATAGCGAGAGAGATATTGCGAAATGTTCTAACTAAATACTGCCTTTTCTATCGAAATCATTGAAACTATGCAACCTACTTCTTAAAGACATACACTACATTATTAAATACAAATGTTCAATACAAGTGAGAAGATTTTAAGGTCATGCTCAATTCTCTAAAAGTAAAAAAATCTTATTTATATACAAACATCACGCATTGATGCCTAATTGCACACACCTCAGAATTCAAAACATATTAATGTCAGATATAAGAATCCATCAAAGATTATATATAGTGCACGACATGAGGTAATCTCTATGAAATAGGTGATTTAGTTCTAGCAGCAGGAGGAAAAAATATGGGGACGTATTCCATTCTCTATTTTTGAAAGAATGCATAAAATAGTTCAGAAATATAGCTTGAAAAAGTTACATCTCCAGCTCATAGAAGATATACCATGAAAAAAGACTTACCCGTCTTCTAAACATTGAAAATGCATATCCTCTATAACGGATAATATCTGTCTTTCACAAGCATCACTAGTCTGAAGAAACTGCTTCTGATTCTCTGAAATATCAGAACCTTCCAGAAGCTGGTGGGTGAAACGGATTCCATTCAAAGGATTTTTCATCTCTTGCTTAATATAAGTCAACTCTTTGAGTTTTGAAAGATGCCCCTCCTCCTGTTCGTCTTCTATGGACCGCCGCTGTTTAATCTCCATAATCTGCAAGAAGCAGAAACACCCAACAGCATTTCCCACCTCATCCGTTCTCTTATTGGCCATCAAGAACACCTCTACAAACTCTCCTTTTCTATTGAAAAATCCAAAAAGAAGCTTTTCGGTGTCATGGCCACTAATTGCTCTGTACAGTAAAATCATAAGTTCAGTGAGCGTGTCTTGACCTTTGAGCTGACAAAAACTTCCAAAAACTTCCCCTGCCAACATTTTACCAACAATTTCATGTCTCGTCCAACCTGTTAGTTTTTCCATGGCTGCATTCCATTCTGAACAACAGGCATTCTCATCGGTAGCAAATATGGGTGGAATAAGTGGATTTACACTTTGTAAAATAGCCTTATAATCCCCTTGCAGACGGATGAATTTGTCCATCACAATTTTTTCAGATGTGATATCCTGAGCCGTGAAGCAAACGCCTACAATATCATTTTTATAGTCTCTACTTGTGCATGCATTGGCCAGAAGGTAAATGTCCGAATTTGGGGTTTGTATCCCAAACCTCAGCAGTTTCACCTCAACATTTTTGTCCTCCTCACCTAAATTTAAAGTACATCAAGTTGAGTGAGAAAGAGAGAGGTAGAGTGAAGGGGTGCGTGGGGGTTGAGTGACTCAATTCGACGGTTTTGAAACAATTAAAGATGGAAGGGCCTAAGTCAAGAAACCTGAAATACTTGAATATAAGCCCCTATTTGAGCTCCATTCTATAAAAACTCATTTTTAACTACAAATTCTTCCAAAATAATAATTTTTCATGTAAACCCAAAACTTTTATCTACTATTTAACCACATACTTTCCAAAAAATAACTATTATAAAACCTATTATTTCAAAAAAATGGGGATCAAACATGCCCTAAATACATTGCGTATAGTTAGCTTCAATTCAGATTTATCTTTTAGCACATGTCAGGGATGAAAAACTGCTCAATTTTTCGTATTATTCTATTTGATCAGGTCCTTAATACCATATGCATTGATAAGGAAGTTGGTTTCTATATCACGTGACCAGCTCTGCAGTGGTCACAACAAAGTCTACTATTCCACAGATACAGCTACTCTAACTTTAAACAGAACACAGAGAGAAACAAATCAGTGACGCACAAATGCTACCGTCTTTCCTTCTTCACTTATATAAAAAATAGAAAAAAGGATAAGACTTCCAATTTTCCAAGATGGTTTATGAATAAACGTATGAAGTACTCATAAAAAAATGAGCGTCTTTGACATCTTTCAGACAGCTTTTAGCAATTGATGGCAGAAAATAATTACCTTTTAGAGCTCTGTGCATAAGAACTTCAACAACAACGCGTGAGTCTTCATGAACAATGTCATTAACTAGGGATTTCCCCATAGCTTGAGAAGCTTGTAATCCTGTCAATTCACTCATTTTTGCATTCCATCCATTAATCAAACCACATGAATCAACCCCAAAAATTGGAGTAATGGCTGTCTCTATCAATTTGACCATTTCAACTGCCATAGAAGTAAGTTCATCCACCTCTGGCCCGTCCAAATTATTCCGTTGAGAATTTATCATGGGTTTAGAGCCACTGTCTTCAACATCTTGAAATGAATCTCTCATTATAAGCTGTAAAGAGTGAATAGCATTAATCTCTGAAACCTCCCACGGCAAACTACGGCCTTTAACTACTTCGAGAAAGGTTTTGAATGAAAATCTAGGATGCAATTTTCCACCATCATCTTTGTCCTCGGGATGATGCTTAGCCCCTCCCCATTTGATTTCTTTTGCTGTGTGGGACCTAAACCAAAATAGAAAATCTGTGGAAGTAATTCTTGCTGTAGCCATTCCACAAACTGCAACGCCGAGTAGAGCTGCACCTGGATAGCCAGCATCTGCAAGACTATCTGTACTTAGCCCTGTTGAGTCCCCATGGCTAGTAAGTAGCCATTCTGCAATATCTTTAATTTGTGCCTCAGTGGGGGTAACACCAAGCAACCAACATTTCCCACCATAATATAATGCACTCCCATCACACTTTACAAGATCCATGATGCTAGGAGACTGAGTGACAATGCCGAATGGAGCATCACGGAGAAACATGTCACACAATAACGTTTGCATTCGGAGAATTTTCTTCTCTGCTAACTGTGATGTCAATTGCAGCTCCAGATAAAGCTGCAGGCTAAATGCCTGCATCAGGAATTCACATGCATAGCGAAGGGGAAAAGGGACATAGCGTGGTGAAGAGTGGTGGCACACCACCAATCCCCACAGCTTCATTGAGTCGGTGCCATTAACAACAACCGCCATTGCCAAAGATGAAATCGACCCCATGTTGGCCATGTACTGAGAATGACAGCCATGGGGTGCTCGAAGTGTTGAATTAACCAAGCAAAGAGGCCGCTTAAGTTCTTCAATTTGGACTATCTTAACTGGCTGAGCGTTGCAATCACAAATCATCCTGACACGATTCTGCTTAAACAAAAATCGTGCCGCTTGGGGGATATCTGTTGCAGGATAGTGCAATCCCAAGTAGGGCTCCAAGTCGGACCTTCTAATTTCAGACACAACCTCACCATGATCATCATCATGAAACTTATAAACCATTACTCTATCATACCCAGTAAGCTTCTGAACATCTTCAACTACGGTATCACACAAAACCCCTATATCTCCCCCGGGAAGAGACTGGAGCCTCGTAATCGCCCGAACAGCTAGTTTCTGAGACTGCACTGCACCAGCATGCAGCAATGAAGGATCACCAGAATAAGCAGGCTCCAAATCAATAACAATTCCCACATCAATTCTATGTAGAATTGCATAAAAAGGCTTGTGGGTAGTCGCAGAATGAACCCAAATTGGGTTCAAAAAAGAAATTTCCTTAGACCCCACGGCCTTTGCCAATGAAGCACTTGACGAAGGGGTAAAAAGGGTTCTTGCATCAAGTCCAAAGAGATTCGTAAACTCTTCCGACTCAGCAAATTTCTTCAAACCCAACATATCAAAACAATTCTCACTATAAGCTATGATTTTAAAAGTGGATTCCTCGATAGCAAGCATACAACCAAAGGGTTGCACAAGACCACCCCTCTGGATTCTTGATAAATAAACAGACACCTGTTCCTCGGTACTCAAAATCTGTGGCGCATGAAAAGCATCGTTAGACGACTTACTCGACTCCGCAGATTGCTCAAACGCAGCCATCAGACTCGCATCAGCACTGTACTGAGCGATGGATTTGTTGGTGTTCATATTGCTTGCAGCAGAAGAAGAAAAGGCGGTATTAGCGTTATTCTCGTTTTTCCAGAAGTTGATATTCGAAGAAGTGGGATATTTATTTTCTTTACTCTGTTCCTCCCTCTCCATTTTATGGGTGTTTCTTGAAAATGGAGTTTCCGAAGAAATTCAAGTGAATTCAGTTTCAGTAGTAATAATAGTGATAATAGGTGGATCTTTATCATGACTGTACTCGCTTCTTCAGCAAGAGGAGACTGCTTGGGGATTATACACATCTCTTTCGTCTGCTGGATTCTAGTTTATGGTTCTAATCATCATCTTAATTACCCAATTACTGGGAAAATTCTTACAAGACAAGATTTTGCTATTCCCCACGCAGAACATTTTTGGTGATAATGCCAGAGCGATTTTCCTACATATAGAGCATATTCGCCCCCTTATTCGATTTTACCTTTGTATTGCATGTCCAAAATCATTACCAGCACTGCCAGCGTGTTTGCTAGGAATTAAAAGTGATTTATTTTGATAATAAAATCAATATTAATTTTTAAATAAATGTAATAGTAAAATAAAGCAACTTCCTTAGATAAGTTTTAAAACAAAAAGTTATGAAAATATGCTTTTAATTATATTCTAGTTGTACACTAATATCAACACAACATAAAATAAAATAAAAAATAAAAAAATATTTAAATTTTATTAAAATAAATATTAGGAGACGAAAAGAAAGATGTGAAATTGCATTATCATCTTCTTTAGACCACTGGTTGTGAATTGGACATGTGGAGTTGAGTATAGACCTTTGGTTGTCACGCCACTAGACATACAATGACTTGTGAGGAAAGTGTGGGGTCTGTCTATTTATGTTTTAAAACAAAAAGCTATTATTTTTGCATTTATAAAATCAATTATTAAAAAGATGTTTGATTCATGAAATTGAGATCCCGTTTGGAAGTGTTTACGACAATTAATTTTTTCATCGTCAGAGAGAAAAGTGTATCCCACCTATAAAAGAAGAAGTCAAAAATAATGGTTGAAATAGTAAAATAACGATAAAAAAAATTGATCTTTTTGAATAAAAAATTGTTACCAAATAGGGACTAAATATGACTCAAACAGTCTAATTCGTAAGTACCTCTAATAAATTTTTTAGCGCAAGTTTGATATTGATTTTTCACCCCAAAAAATCAATTTTTTGATCGTCATTTCACAATTTCAGCCATCATTTTTAGGTTCTTTTCTCACAGGTGAAATCCACTTTTCTCTCTAACGACCAAAAAATCAATTCTCATAATTACTATCGAACAAGCCCTAGTAAAATTTCTTTAACATCAACAAAACATGCTTATTGGCTTTGAAGTGAAAAAAAAAATGAAGAAAAAAAAGCGTTAATACACGTAGATATATTTACATAATAGAATCCATGAAGATTAAAATAATTAATTATTTTTAAGACATTGGTTGTACCATGACGGGAGCTTATTACTCTAGCTTTAATTTAGTATTTTTTATGAGGATATTATCTATTTTATTTATTTCTATTTTTCTCTAGTTGGACTTTATTTTAGTTTTGGATTCTTATTTATGTAATTGGGTTTGTATTGGCCCAAACCCGTTCTAATTAGGGTTTTCTCTTTATTATTTAAACCTAATTTCCTATGTAACTTCATTAGTTTTGATAAATATGAATTATTGAGATTGATTGTGGCATCTCCTTCCTTTCCCTTCCCCTTCCTCTTTCCCCCTGAATTTCTATTTCTTCTTCGATTTTTTCTCATTTCTCTTTGGTTCTCCCTCCTTTTCTTACTATCCTCTTCTTTATCCTGCATCAAATTTGGTATAAGAGTCAAACTTGAGTAATTTTTCTCCTTATCCAAATTTTCTTCTCATCATTTTCCCAAAATTTCTTCTCGTTGGAACAGCATAAATGAAAAGTTTGTGGTAAAGTTAGCAGTTAAAGTTGCAAAAAAAAAAAAAAAAGAAGTTACTGTTCATAGCCGGAAAATTCAATTTTAGTATTTTGGTTAGTTCCTTAAAAAAAAAATATTACTGTTCACGTTATTGTTCACACTCGAAAATTTCAATTTAGATTTTTTTCTGCAATTTCAGTTTCACCCACAAAACAAAAAAATAATAATAATAATAAAATAAAATAAAAAAAATTTCTCGTTTGCTGCTGTTTCTTCTATACAATTGTATTGTTGTTCCACGAATTCCAACCCTAACTTTCAATCCTTCTTACACACGGCCCAATTCCGTTTAGCCCAATTAACCCAGCCTACTCTCTACGACACAGGCCCACTCCCCAAACACTAACCATAGTTGGCCCATCTCTATAACACGATCCAAACCTCTTCCCATCTGGCCCAATCCCAATATCCCACCCAAGCCCAATTAACTACAAACTCATCAAGCCCAACTACCTAATATCATTCATTTGACCCAACTCACCTTAGCCCATACAATTTCAACCCAATCCTCTTCGATCCAGTCGACAACCAAATTCGAGCAGATTCCAGATCCAGTCCTCCACGTCGGCAACCCGAATTGCGTCTCTCGTCGTCGGTCAACCTTCAATTGTCGGCTTCCATCACCGACAGTCCAAACGTCCACCCAAGTCGCACCATCCACGAGCCACGCTATCTACTTTATCATTGCCACCATCATCTTCAACCTTAAACACAACGACTACAGCCACTTGAAATCCCAACCCCCGCAAGCCTCCACCAACCCAGGCCCACACACTTCAACCACAGTCACAGCATTCATATATTTCCAGTCCATCTCAACAATTTAAAAGCCACAATCACCACATTCAAAGTTACATTCACACCGCCAACACTGCCTATCACCAGTTGTTGCTCATACGACCACCTGTCGTTGCCACCATCACCACCAGTAGAACTGGGTCCAACAGTAGTCACTCACATCACCAATATCAACGGCTACAAAATAAGCTCACTACCACATCTGCTCTTCTCACCCCAGACGCATCTGCCACCGCAACAGAGAAACAATCACCACAAAAATAAAAACCTTACTTCTTTACAAGGCGCAATTGGAGTAGTTTTAGAAATTGAAGTCACTTGACACGAAGCATAGGACACAAACTGGATTGAAACCCGCACATCAACAACTCAAATCAACTGAATTCAGGGAGTCACTGTTCTTATTTATTATTGGCTTATACTACTCTTCATTTTAAAATTGCATCGTTAATTTCATTATCTTGCTGTTAACGTGATAATTTTAGCCTTAAACCCCACTTGATCGAAACCATTGATCAAATTGACACCAATGATCGAATTGACTTTCATTGTTCCCATTTAAATTGATTGGAGAATTTGACTAGTGTGTTGTTGACCCTTGCTTTGCTATTTTACATGCACCAACAGTATTAGCTTGCTTTGGATTTATTTAATCCCAATATTTAAAATTAAATAAAAAAATAAAAAAGGTTCAAGTTATTTTCCATTTCTTGCACTTATTGTTCATTGATCTTTCTATTGCACGACATTTAGCTGCTAATACAATGCATGCATAGTGGTTGACCGATCGTCTTGTCACTCTGGTTTCAGTGCTTAAACAGGATTCTTCACAATTTGATACACTCACCCGACAAATAGCAGCTATCAAAACCCAGATAACTACTACTCTTGAAGAGAGTAAGGCCCTTTCTGCTAATTTGAACATTTTTAAGCACATTCCTCATTCGACTAATGTTAATAATTTTGAAGTGTCCCACAATAGACAATATCGTCGGCGACAAGGTGATCAAAAATATTTTCAACACGATCGTAGAGATAGGGATCAGGGCCGTGAACGAGAACGAGGCCATGGTACTCAACCTCTTCCTCGTCATAAGGAGCGTTTTTTTAGTGACATTAAGTCAGATACTCCTACTTTCGATGGTTGCTTAGGTCATGAAATTTTTACCTAATGGAACACCCTTACACAAGGGAATTGGCTAGTAACTGAGTACATTGCTCAATTTGAGGAATTTCAAATGAAATGTCATGTCATTAAGGATGAGGCCCTGAATTTGAGTAGGTTTATACAAGGTCTAAGAGATGAACTTAGGCGTGAACTTTTCTTTCGAGACGTCACTACTATTGATTACGCTTACTCATTAGCTCGGGACTACGAGTTACTTATTAGTACTCCATATGGAAAGCCTGGTCACCATCGTTCACCCATCTTATCACCTCGTCATAAGTCTATCAGTGAGCCTTCCCCATCTAATGTTCCTTCCATTTGGGAAACTAAGTGTAAAGGTCATGATATCCCAAGAAGTCTAATATCAGTACTTGGATATAAGGAAAGACCGCCCTTCTTAGCTATATCATATTCTTGGGAATAAACTACAGTTTTCAGTATTATTAATAATGAAATTTCGGTACTTGGTTCGTCAGAAAGATCATCCCTTGTGGCTTGACTTGAAGCATTTAGAGTTTCAGATTGATTGCAGCCTACATTGTTCTATCAACTCGACAGGGTCGAGTTTTTCTTCCACCTCAGGAGAGTTAATGAGGACATCATTTATTTTATTTATTTCTAGTGGGACTTTATTTTAATTTTGAATTCTTATTTATGTAATTGTGCTTGTATCGACCCAAGCCCGTTCTAGTTAGGGTTTTCTCTTTACTATTTAAAGCTAATTTCCTATGTAACTTCATTAGTTTTGGATGAATATGAATTATTGAAATTGGTTGTGGCGTCTCCTTCCTCTCCCTTCCCCTTTACCCCTGAATTTCTGCTTCTCCTCCAATTTCTTCCCCCTTTCTCTCTGGTTCTCCCCCCCTTTCTTGCTATTCTCTTCTTTATCCTGCATCAATTTTATAATGTAATACTCACGTTACTAGTGATACAACACCAATCTAAATGACATTGAGTGCCATTAAATGATAAGTGCAATCAAATGAATTTCATAATTTCATCTTTAATTGAGTCTATTACATAATCCAACATAGATGTGTGCTAGATAGCATTTTTCATAAAATTAAGTTACTTGTGAAAAATAGTAATTTAAGTGCAGGGGCTGTCATTGAAATTTTTGGTGAACACATGGGGCTTCTGAAGCTGTGTAATAAAGCCCCTCAATACTCAAAATGTTTAGACTCACAACTAGTGCCAAAAGTTACTTGAAGAAAAGAAGTAAAGGATACACTACAAATCGTCAACATCATCATGATAATACCACCTTGTCCCAGTTTCATCGAGCATGGAAGACTACTGCTTATCGTCAGGAATTGCAACATTATCCAGCAGAATGCAGGATTTGGATGTGCCTATGAATGCCAAGGGTCAAACTATCAGGATCAATCAACATTATGAAGTCATGCTAAGTTTGGAGATTGGCCTTGAAGAAGTGACAACTCAAAAGGTTCAGGTGCACCATCAAAGTCTGGTGTGGCAACATCTTGATCCTGCAGGTAATAAG